AACAGCTTTTTGTTTGGAGTTTTGTTCAATGAGATGATGGGGCAAGGTAAAAATTTTAAAGGAGCTATTTGTATGTTTTTTCTATTGCTACATAGCTAACATTAGCATGGACAGCTGTTTACTTACCAGCATTAAACTTCATTCCTTTACTCACCAAGAGCTGTCTCCAGAGGTGGAAAGCAACTTTCATGTTTTACTTCTATTTCTGTCACTTCTTCTCATTTACTTAAGTTAGCATGCTAACCAGCTAGCCTCGTCATTTTCCGATACCGAGTCACTGCAGCATCCAGTCTTCCCTGAGGAAGGAGCGCTGGTCAGATGATGTATTATAACCTACGCTAAAGTGTTAGTTCAGGCTTCTCCTTTTGTTTGGACTACTGTAACTCCCTTTGTACATGTCTGAGCCAACAGAGTCGACATAAATTACAGCTAGTCCAAAATGCAGCAGCCAGACTTCTTACCAAAACCAAAAGAAGACAGCATATTACTCCCATTTTTGCACTTCTTCATTGGCTTCTGGTAAATTTTAGAAAAGATTTTATGGATGACTTTTAAGGCTTGCCCTGGATTCTTTGACCTTTTTTAAATCCGTCTTAAAGACGTATCTTTATAGGTGTGCTTTCTCTGGGCTTGGGGACTGAATCTATTATTATATTAAGTCATCATCCTGTTTCTTTACAATTTATTTATTTTATTCTGTTTTATCTCATTTTTACTGAACCTCATAGTCACTCTTTTCTCCCCCCAATCTTGTTAAACCTTTAAACACTTTTTAAATGTTTTTTTTTTATCATTCATTTTTTATTGTTCATCCTCAGTTTTATCTTGTCTTGCAAAGCACTTGTAACTGTGTTTTGAAAGGTGCTAAATACATAAAGCTTATTATTATTATCTTCTATATTGGTGAAATTCTGAATCTAAGTGTCTATTACTGAAATGTATTTACAGTGACTTCTTATAGCTGCTCTTTCTGTAGGTTAGAACCCCTATGGAGAGGCAACCTATAATCCTGATGGTGTTTGTACCAGTTGTCCAGGACCCCCATTGTTAGCACGTCCAGTCCAGTACAGCAGGGGATTAGGTCGAGGTCGAGACTATTTCTCATATCTGATCTGTGACGAGTCCACTGTCTCCTCGCTGATTCCTCATCTTTCTACAGAATGATACAGCCCCCGCACCCCACCCCCCCCCCCACCCCACCACTACCTCACGAAAAATTGTCCTAATTGTCTCAAACTGTCCAAGTAGCAACTATGAAGCATGTTATGCAACGTTGTGCAACGCAGGCGTGATACTTCATACGTTCTGCTTCACTTGGCCATATAAACATAATGCTGGCATAAAGATAATTGAGCTGCCTGTGGGGGATAAAGTCCATAAGGTCCCATTTCCACTGAGGATGTCTCCCTCCCTTAAGCATGCATGTAGTTAAATATATATGTCGGTTAAGGGTTAGCCGTCTCTGCTACTGATGAACTTAAACTGGACTCTGAGAGCTCACACTACGCTTGCTAGATAGAAAAAATAAGAGTGTGTGTCCATTAGCAGATGGGAAAAAGGAGAATAAGGTGTGATTTGATGTCTGACATGGCTTCATGTACTGTAAGGCACAGTTAAATCACTACCAATGACCTCACATGAGAATCCTGCATATCCCTTCTTGTCGGTGTGCTGTAGTCTTAATGCCAAAGGGCTCTGAAAAGAGTGCAGTGCAGCTCTTTTATTGAGATGTACATGGTGTTTTTCCTCCCCACTCAGCCGTGATGGATTGTTGATGCTGCCTCGGGCTTTCTGTGGCTTTATTTGGTGGCTCTCCTCGTATCCTCATTCCTGCTAAGGAGGGTTTTTCCCCGCAAGATATGAAAGGTTCAAGTCAAATAGGACTAGCGTTTGTTTTTAGCATTTGTTCTGAGCTGTGTGGAGAGTGACAGAGGTGGGATTTTACCTCCATAAAGATGGTTTAGTTTCATGATTATTGTCTCTTATGATTTTTGTTTAAGGGTTATATTTTTTTGCTGCTAATCGTATTACTGCGTGTAGTAAACCCTGCTCCGTCCGGCATTAGAGCTGATGAAATCCAGTCATTTAATATTTTTTACACGGGTTTACCAGCTGCATTTGTTACATGATTTTAATCACTAACAGACAAAATAAAATAAATAAATGCAACACTGTTACCCTGATAATTAACTGTCTACTCTGATGTCTAGATTACAGTTCTATCAGCACATTTCTGAAAAGAAATGATTTTTATAATAATAACCTGTCACATTTTCTTAGTCGATTGAACACAGCAGTGATTCAACCTGAATCCTGCTCACATTCGTTGGTTTTAACACCCTTTCTCTTCTCTAATAGCCCCCGTGGCTGAAAAGAGTGCTACCTACTTGCAGAAACAAACACAACACAGGAGACATAAGAGCACCAATGAGCTCTGAGCACCAAAGATACCAACAATATACAAAGCAATAATCTTTAGGAAACAGCTTGAAATTAGCAAGAATTTTGAGCTGAGGCTGAGGAGCATCAGTCCTGATGTCTTGAAACTCCACAGCCACGGTTTGTAATGCAGTTTCTGTTAAAATGTGTAACCCGCAAGGCCAAGCCCAGAGAAGGACATGTCACACTGAAATAATCTGATACATGAATAAACAATTAGCAAGAGTTAGTCAGACACAGCAACATGTATGAACAACCCTTTCATTCATTATTTGGACGTGAGTTTGTAATTGGTGGATAGAAATGAATTCAGTTTATGCTTAGGAGAGCAGCAGGAAGTTGTGACAGGAAAAGCTTGAGAAAAACTGCTCCAGAGTTACAAACTAAAGTGTACAACTGTTTTCACAGGCTGAGCAATACTCCCCATGAAGATCATCATCGTGTGTAAAATTGCCCCTTTGAAATCACAAACTCTCTCATGTTGAAAATTAGGTAATTCACTGCAGATGAACCAGAGAGCCGATGTACGATGGAGCTGCAATTATTGTACTTCCTGTACTTGTAATTTCATAAGGAAAATGATTTCTTGTTAACTTAAAAACTTGCGTGTGCATGAATTGCTGGTGATTAATGTTCCCTAATGGTAGTTCATGTAATAGCTGATGCACTTTAATAACACAGAAACAAACGTGTTATTTTTTTTTATGACACAACTGAAATTAGATAGATAGAAGATAAACAGAAGTAGATTCACACGGCTTCTGTCAGAAAACCAAAAAAATATAAGAGCTGCAAACTTCAATGAGAGATGTGGGTTTACTTCAGGAAATACATTTAACATGGAGCATAATGCAATCAAATATTACGTGATGACACACAGATTTACAGGATGAAGAGCAAGTTATCATGAACAAACCTTTACATTGAAGCAGTGCACTCAAACATCTTTAATCCCTGTTTAACAAACCTGCAGCGTAATGAACCAAAATCCTGCCGATGCTATTATCCTTCCCATAATCCTCCAGTAATTCAGATCACTGGGATCCTGTTCGTGTTGTGAACTTACAGGTGGTTAACAAAGATGTGCATTAAATAGGACTACTGTCATGCAAAGACAGATCTCCTGTTAATACACGTCACTGGAGTCGTGCTCATTTCATTGAGGAGAGTTAAAGCAAATGTTGATTTAAATACATACTGTATATTTCTGCACAATCACATACAGTTGCCTCCTCCTGTGTGCTCAGTGTGTAAGTAAGTAAGTGGCGCCTCCTTCTGGTGCAAAATGAGCATAGGCCAAGACTTGACTCGTGTTCCTGCTCCTGTCTTACCAACAATTTAAAGTCATATAACTATTATGTTTTTATTATTCAGCAGATGTTGAGGAGAAATGCAGATCAGCAAACCTGTTTGTTGCCTCCCCTTTTGTTTTATCCTTTTACACTCTTATCTATTATCCCCGCACATGATCAATAAAATATATCTTATCTTTTTTCCATTCAAAAGTCTTCAGTTATCAAGCTTAAAAAATATGACAGTAGTAATGGTAGTGTAAACCTTATTTCTCAGTCATTAGGGTTCTCTGGTATCTGGGCTGTGGGTGACAAGCAGACTACAATTTCCTTTGACTGACTTCATCACCACTGACTCAACTTTATTCTGCTCTCTTAGCAATTACATGTGTATCCAGTAGACTGTCACATTCACACCTGTCCCCCTGCAAACAATGGCAGGTGGGAACTTAAAGTGCTGCACACTAAAGGGGTATCTTAAATGTTACACCTACAAATGTACAAATTATATATATATATGAAATAATAAAGTACTGATAATGAAATTATATAATAAAGTCAATGAAGTAATATTAGTCAATATTATAAACTCAAATAATATTGCGCCACTTTATATACAACACCAATTAATATGGTAATCTCATAATTAAGGTAATCCAAATATATGCAATAATTAAGTTTACAGTAGCATGTCAAAATAACATGAAAACCACTTGAAGGGTTTTGGAGCTTTAGCTAATTTATGAAGCTGTAGTTTGTTCTGTTTTTATATTGAAGATGTTGATCTTGAACCTGATTTTAAAAGTTTTCATTTTTGTAATGGAGAATTTCTATATTATGGTAATACAGCTGCATTTACTTAAACTACAACTGAATGTTACTGTTTTAGTGCTCTTGGATTGCATGTTGTGAATGCTAGTTTTATTTACTTACAAAAAAAATCAAATTAATGATGACATATTGGTGATATGGTCATGTATTATATATTTCATACATAAACAACACAGTTGCTCCCCTCCTCTCTCTCTCTCTATCCATGTGAACGGATTAGGATCAGGGATTAGAGACAGATGTAAACCAGTAGTCCAGATCCTATCTAATTCTGCCGCCATCCATCACAGGAAAGGTCACAGTTAGGGTCAAGATTAAGAAACCTCCGCCTCCTTTACATCCTACTCTCGTTTTTATTGGTCCGAGATTTGATTGACGGCGCTGTTGTCCAATAGGATTAGAGAACGAGCGGCTTCTGTAACCGCTGCGCAGATGTGTGACAAGACGACAACGCAGGTTTTAGTGAGAGCAGGAATAGCAGTTGAAAGGGAGTCACGAACTGCTGAGGCACCAAAACACGAAAGGTGAGCCCTAAATTATTTCATATTATCGTAAATAAATCTAAATTAATTGTGTTCTCACATATAATTCATGTTTAATTTAATATTTTAGTTGACAGTTGCCTGCGAAGTCAGGAAACAGATGGTGACTTAGCTAGGTTGCATCGCAATTATTAACATAAAGTAGCATGTAGAAAACTTTACACCGGTAATTCCTGTTAGTTGGTACGTTTTTAAAGTTATATTTCATGACATATTGCTACTATTTACAGGCATGTGTCTGTGTCTGTCGCCCCTGCTTTTTAAAAACAGACTTATTTAATTCCACCTAACCTTTTTAGTCCGTTTTATCCTAGAAAATAGGTGTAAAAAGTGTTTTTCAGAATGCATTTCTATAATATACAGACAGATACAAGTCTCCATTGTCCTTGTTGTTTATTCTCAGCCTTTTTAACTCTTCCCAGTCCAAGTCAGTTATTTGAACCAAAAATAGGCTTAGAATACTTTAACAACATAATTCAATCATTTACAGGCAAGTATCAGTCACTACTGTCCTTGTTGTTTGTGTGCAGCCTTTTTTTAAAACAATTCCCAACCTTCTTATCCAGAAACAGGCTTTAAAACTTTCCTCAGATATCTCTACTTTCACTTCTGATTAGCACTGACGTGACTTGTGAGCTTTGTTGCACTAAATCAAAGTAAGATTTGAAGGAATAATTGTGAGGGTTTTGCTCAGGTAAACCTGTTATGTATGAAATTTGACAGAGAAGCTTTGAAAACCAAGGACACCAGCAGCAAAAGGACAGTTTAGAGGTCATCCATTTGGCTAGGCTCTTCATAATTTGCTCCTGTGACAAGGTGCCTTTTCCCCCTCGCACACACAACCTGCCTTGTCTTGTTAATCTGCAGTCTCTCATCGCGTTACACTTAACATGCGTGCTTGAAAATTATACACACTCACTCACACACACACACACATTTTCACAATCCTGTAAAGGCTTGAACACACAGCAGCATATCTGCCTGACAGGCTAAACCATGGCCTCTGTAGGCTAATGATACAATGAGGAAGACTTTGCTCTTTGGTTAGTGCCTCTGACATTTATTCCAATCTCAGATCTGTCATACTGCTACTGCTGCTGCTGCTGCTGTTGCTACTGTCCCACATGTACATTAACCTTTAACTGCTTGACATGGCTGGTGGTGACAGGATATCCTGTGAAAACGTTCCCCCTGACTGAACCTGACAACAGATTACTTTACCTGGCTGTTTAGGTACAAACAAAGTGAAGGTGCATTAAGGTGTATTCAATACAAAAAAAAAAGACCCAGATGTCTTAACCAGAGGGATTTATTGAAGTTCAGCTGAGGAGAATAGAGACAAGCAGTGTCACCAAATTCTGAAGGTTATCTTACTTGCAGGGTGTATTTAATCCCATACAAAACTTACTACGTGTCCAAATCATTGCAGCCTATACAAGAAGGTTGGTCCTCTCTATCAGAAAGACGTGAAATGCATTGGTACCTATTCATTTTTACAAAGCCCTTATTGGGAAATTGCCATCGTATGTTACGTCTCTCACTGTCAGATCACAGAAAGTTATCCACTTTTTAGAAACAAGATTTTAAACCTTCCCGAAACATAATGCAATTGTTTCAATTGATGAGACTGTTGACTGTGTTTTATAGTCTTGGCATCTTATGAGTTTAAAAATTTTACAATTTTGTAATTTTGTTGTTTGTTATTTAAATTGTATAGTAAAGTTTTTTTTTGGACTATTTGTCCATGAATAGTTTTAATTTTCATTCAGGTCTCTTGAAAATGAGATTTCTATCACAGTGGGATTCACCTGAATAAATAAAGGTCACATAAGTTATGACCACGGGGACTGGGCCAGCTAGACTCTAACGTCTTCATAGCTGCCCTTGAGACAGAAATTGAACTGGTGCATTTAGGGTCTAGTGTCTAATACTACTTTAAGTCCAAACGAAGGATAAATTCCCTCACAGCCATGAGAACGAAGTGTGTGGAGTAACCTACGGTTGAGACATTCATGCTGCATAAGTAAAGTTCAGATATTAAACTGGAGATGGAGGTGATTAATCAGTGACTAGTCCGGACCTGTTCACCTTCTTACGCCAAACAGTTGCAACCTTGAAAAGTAGGAGTGTTTCTCTCCCCTTTAAAAAAGAAAAATAAGTCACATCCAAATAAAAAAGAACATATTTATCTTACTACTAGTTACATAACGGGTGATCTTCATTTTCACTTTCAGTTTCATTGGCAAAGGAATAAAATCCCCTAAATGTGTCTGTTATCATCGCAGACAGCTAAGTTCTGGTTTCCATATTGTGATTTTGGGTACTTTCATGTCTCATACAAAGCAAAAAGAGAAGTGTAGAGGGCGGCACGGTGGTTTACTGGTCAGCATTGTCACGGCACAGCAAGAAAACCTGGTACTCCGACGTCCTCCCACAATCCAAAAACATGCAGATTAGGTTAATTCACAACTCTAAATTTCCCGTAGGTGAGAATGTGAGTGCGAATGATTGTGCGAATGAAGGATATTTTAAAGCGCTTCATGGTTTGGGACCTGCCTACATTGCCAGATTCTCTGTCGTTTTATAATCCATCACAAGCTCTCAGATCTTCTACTGCCAGGCTTTTAAATACACACAAGTTTACGCACAAGAAAATAGGCAGTGCAGCTTTTTTGAACTATGCTCCAAAACTATGGAAAACCCTGCAAGATTTTCTGCAAACATTTTAAAATGACTGCTGAAAACCTGTTTATTTAAACTGGTTTTTAATTAACTCTTTCATACTTTGGTATTCTTACTGGTTTCTGTTTTTATTCTAATTTTTTTATCATCTTCTGTCTTTTTATTGTCTATTTTCATTGTCCTTCAATCTGTCCTTATTGTATTATTTGATTTTTGTTTGTAAAGCACTTTGAGCCACATCTCTTGTATGAAAAGTGCACTATGAACAATAATAAGAATGACAATGATAATAATTATTATTATTGATTTACAAAATTGCACTGTAAAAACCTGGCAGGAGTAAAACCCATTTAACGTTTTTGAAGTCTTCACTATCTCTGTTTTTTATTTGCTCACACTTATTTCACAGATGACGTTTGCCAGCGACAAACTCTACAATGGATATCTGCGGCGGAAAATGCCAATGATTGCATCCAACGTGAAAGTGAGAGAAATAATCGTCCACCTGCCGTGTTTGACTGGTCATGACAGGGTAAGTTTCATTAGATATAACCTATACCTACCTATAGAACCTCTCAGGAATGTGGGAATAGCATAATGTATTGGTACTGGTTTTCCAAAGGTATCCAGATTTTTTAAGAAATAGTGGCAATACCTGAGTTTCGGTTCAGACACCAAAGAAATATTTTCTCTGCCACCATACGCCATACTGTATTGATGTACTTTAAAATAACCATTGTCTGCCTTTAGTTGATGCTTTTTTAAGTGGTCTGGTTTTGCACCATTATTGTCATTGTTGCAATTCTTAATCATCCCGTTATTACAATTTTATCACTGTCATAATGCAGATATGTCCCAAAAAAGGATACTCTGTAATTGCAGGAATAAGCAGTCCCAAGTAACCCAAACAATACTGCTGTACTACTACTGTACTGTTTTTGAGGCCAATATTGACATGAACAATTCAAAGTCAAAAGATGACCCATCACATAATCATTTTGTGTGTGTGATTCAGTTGAATTATCAGTTATCACTGGTGACAGTAACTGTAAAGTTTTGACAATAAACTTCACAGAAAATCATCAATACATCAAGATCAAAGTGATCACTACCCTGATAAATTATATTTTTATATTTCTTTATTTTATTTTTTTATTTTAGGAAAATATAGAGGCAAAAAGAGAGACTTATGGAAATCATGACAGCATGGTGCTACTTCTGGAGTGTCTGAGGAGGAGAGAAAACTGGCCGGAGCAGTTCATTGACGCACTTGAGGCGTGTGAGCAACCAACTATAGCAGATGAGGTCAGGGCTGAATACAACGCTCTGAAAGGAATTAAGAGTAAGTCAGCGAGTTAATTTACCTAATACTGCATATTAAAGTGTAAGTAGCTAATGTTGTTAAAAGTATGTGCTACCGGAAACTAATTTAGTCTTTCTCAGTTTCTCTATCTGTGAGATATTAAATGAAAAAGAGTCTAAATAGTACTCCACTGATGTTTTTTGGAATAGCACACAGTTTCAGGGTTAGCTGGTCCTTCAGGATTTCCCAGAGCTTTAGTCATATATATTCATAACAGATTTGAATGACTGCATTATTTGCTTTGCCCTAGATTCCAACCCCAGCTCCCCTTCAACAACTGTCGTCAGGGTGCACGTCGAGCCAGCTCCAGCTGCCAGTCATCCAGAGAACGGTGTGAACTCTCAGGTTGCTGTCGCTCCGCCAGCTGAAGCATCAGCTCCTCCACAGCCAGCTGCTCAGGCCTCACCCCCTCTGAACACCCCGGTGCATCCACAAGCCCCGAGCCCAGTAGCCCATGTACCCGAGGCTGTTCCTCCACCTGAGCCCCAACAGATTGAAGTGGCACCCCCTCCATCGACGCCTCCTCCATCACCGCCACAGAGGGAGGTAAATGCTCATCAGGAGCCAGAGGAAAACTCTGAGTCAGACATCCAGGATTCAGACAACTCTGTGGCGTCTCCTCTGCCGTCCCCTCCTGTTGAACAGCGTAAAACAGACACTCCTGTCCAAACAACAGCAACCACAGAGGTCAGGCCACCACAGAGTCCCTCTCCTACTCAGGCAAACTCGGATGTGAGCGATGGATCCTCTTTCCTCACACTGACCCCAGAGAGGCCTCCAGTACAGGACACCGCCCCTCCTTTTGAAAAAACACCTGCTGTTGTCCTGGAGCCTGAAGAGACATCTGAACCTTCTACTACACAGGTGAATATCAGATTATAATATTCTATCTACGTTATAATGAGCAATTTTAAGACTTAGTCATAAAAACAAAAGATCACACACTGTCCATCACCACTACTCACTTTATTAACACTATTTATTCATTTTACCTGATGAAAGCCTGAGGACTGAAAAGCCACAAGTTAATGACACAAAGTCCCTGGATAAAATTTCACTTTTCAAAATCAATAATGTAAAGCAAAGATCACAACAATCGCGAGGTAAACAGTAAAAATAGAGTTACACATACTTGATTTGTCAACATGGCGTCTTGCCAAAAAAAGTTGAGTCAGGTTCCTCTTTTTTTTTTTTGCCTCATGAGCCTGCTTTGTTTTGCCATCAGCACTCCTACTGTGATGAATGAGAAAGCTGTGTTTTTTCACACAAGGCTACAATTGGTCTGAACATGGCTTTATATTATGTCCACGCTACTACGTTTTCGAAAAAGATCTCTGCCCTGACTGTTACACCTGAAAACGCATACATACCCAACATTCATGAACACTGGGCGTGGGTGAGCCGGTCTAAACAGGAAGCAGATTGTCTTCTCTGCAGTTGATTAGTTGCAAAAAATACCACGAACCAGGAACAACAAAGTAAATAAAGGATTTAACTCCTCAACAGCTGCTAGCAAAGACAACAAGGTCAGTAACATGTGTAATTCATTATTCATGTCGTATTCACCACTGGTAGTTCAGGCTGATAAGCGAAATCAAGAGAGCCCGTGGGTGTCTACATCATCGTTTCCAAAGGTCTCAGTTTTCTCCCGTCCAGAGGACAACACAACCCCGGAGTTTTCAAACTAAAACGGGTCCAGCAGCGTTTCCAAAAGTCTCAGTTCTTGTCACTCAAAAATGCCGGAGTCGTGTGGACGGGAGGTGAAAACGTAGCAGAAGAGATGCGTTTTTAAAACTAAAACGTAGTAGTGTGGACGTAGCATTAGATTGCATTATACACAATTAAAGTTGTTTCTATTCATATACACAAGAGGCACAGAATATTTAAAAAATATATTTTCTACATAAGCTTCTCAATAAAAATGACACGTGACGTCTATTTCTCCTGCAGGTTATTGAAAGCAGCCCACAGAGAGATGCAGCAGCTACAAACTCCCCCCTGCCTGGTGCCTCTGTGTTTGATGACAACTCTATGTGTCTGAGCAAGCCTGGACAACTCGTCAGCATCCAACCACAAAATCATGACAGTCCTACTATCCCTGCACACAACCCACCGGCGGAGCCCTACTCTGGTAATAGTCAGCGCCTGGAAATGAGCGATGCTGCACCGGATGCTGTTACCTCTGCCCACGTTCCTGCATGCCAGGAGAACGGCGTTGGACTCGGCCACAACCAACCGGAGGAGAACCATTACGAATCTCCCTGTGAGAGTTTTGAGGTGCGGGAGAATGTGGTGCATGTGTCCGGGGAGCCGTCCATCCTCAACCTAGACGGCCAGATCTTGGCACCACGAGCTCAAATCATCAACGGCGGAGCAGCCAGAGAGATCACTCCTCCTGCACCATCCTCCAACACCGCTGCTGATACTGTATCGAGCTTAAACACCCCCTCCGGTGAGAGCTACCCCCCCCCTGAGCCTGCACCAGCACCAAAGCTGAAAACACTGCCGGATTCAGAGGAGAAGACGTTCTCTTACAGCCTCCCAACCAATACAAAGTATATTATGACTGCTGCAGGCGTGGGCGCCTGTGCACTGTTGATGGCGTGGAAGTTAAAGAAATAAGGGGATTTAAAGGAAAGAGAAGATTAGGCTTTAAGGCTTTTAAAAGAGGGTCTTACGGGTAAGGTGCCTTATTGTAGTCATTGGACTTGGATGGCATGAGGCAGCTGTTTAATAATTATCCATCATAATAATAGCTGCAAGACCTTTGATCATGACATTAATTTCAAGCCGTGTTGTTAAGTTGGACTGTGTTCTATCATGTTAACGTTGAATGGAGTTGACACTAGTGATCAAAAACCAAATGTACCCTTCCTATTCTAGTTAGGGAACGTCATGGAGCTGGGCTGAGATCTCAGGTTATTTATGCTGTACATATTTGGTTTGTAAAGGTAAACTGAGGTTGTGTATTAATGATAGAAATGTTTGTATGTTCACTTGTCTGGTAAGCACTTTGAAGATAAGGCTGTTGGCTTTCATCCAGTGATGATTAGAGTATCAAGGACCTGAATTTTACTGAATGTGGACTGTGGAAGAAAGGGTATCAGCATCACACACATTTTCTTCTCCTGTTGATAGTGGGAAATGATGGATTGTGCTTTGTCTGTATATATTTTTACATATAGGTATCTAATTATGTGTTTTAAGAATGGATGGACATGTGAAAAACATTTCAGAGCACCTACCATGTGTCAGATATTCAGCACTCAAAGAATCAATCAACCAAACACGCCATAATTTTATTACATATTTTGCAAAATGTATGTGGTTCATAGTCTATACCAGTGGTTTTTAAACTCTTTTAAAACCATAGCACTCCGTGATTTTTCTTTCTTGGCACCGTCTCCCAGGGAAGTAGTGACTGTGCTCCATTAGTTGTATATGTAACTGGATTTTTAAATGTTTATTTTGATGGTTATTACTTATTTCTTTAGTTTTGATGTTTGAAAATGTAATATAAAAATTAGTACATGTAAACATTGCCTAGCTTTTTTTTTTATAATAATGAAACATGATCAAAAGTGTACTATAAAAAATGTAAATGAGCATATCTTGCTGTATGCATGGCAGGTGCTTTGGCAACCACTGGTCTAGACAACATACTAGGCTGTTATGTGGTGTAAATGTTTGAGATGACATTTTATTTTACCATAGGTTTTCCTCTTTAAATAGAAACAAGTTGAGTGTGTCATGTTTGTGAGGTGAGAGTTAATTGTAAATAGTAGTTAATACAAGAAATGTCAGGAAAAAAAAATAATTGAGAAGGTTTTGCACATTTTAAAAGGATATTTTGGCTGCAGAGATATAGATGAAATATATTGTCCGTCTGATACAGATATTGTAACTAATCTGAGCGTAAGTGTTATCTAAATTTGATGCACTGTCTCTAGCTATGCACTTCAGCAATCGCATCAATAAAGCTGAAATTGTAATGTGTGTGTGTGTGTGTGTATATATATATATATATATATATATATATATATACAGTATATTGAAGTGCATGTTGAATGCCAGCTCTTTAAAATTGCCAGCTCTATAAAATTGATAAAATTGTGCTTTTCCCAGCTTTCTTGGATTGTCTTGTTATGACGAAAGCACAGGAGCAATTAATAAAACGAATGAAGGCTAAACTCCATTTAGCTGCTTCAATTTCATGGTCCTGGTATTGATCATGCTGACTCACTGTCCACTCTCACTGGACTCTTGACCCAGTTATTTTACTTAGATCTATTTAGATAACTCCTGACAATTAATAATTACATATGTACATATTTTAAGGTAATTTACAAATTCAGTAATGAATAATTTAAAGGATGGGAGAGATGTAGAAAACTTTGAACATTGTATTTTCTAGTTCATGTTTTTTTCCAAATAATTCCAAATTCCAAATAATTTTTTCACTACAAATTTTGTTATTTGTGTGCGAGTTTTTTGTATCATAAAACTAATCTTTTATTGTGTCTTGTCAAATCTTGATATATAAAGACTTGGAGGGATATACAGTATATTGTGTAAAATATGTAATTGCAACAAAATATGTAATTTGCCAGAGGCAAGAGCTTTTAAATATAATTGTAGATCATGTTTTTTTATCCCCCCCAAAAAAAATCAAAAAAATGTGACATCATCCTCTTTTTATAAACCGTTCTGACTGGTTCGCCTTCTGATTGGTTCTGGCTCTTCTCCATCACCGGCTGACCCCGCCTCCTCATTCTTGACAGCGAAGATAAATAAGATGTACCTCAGCCGTGTGTGACGATACAGCCACTTAGCTGGCTAATTAGCTAGCTTTTATACTCTCGGACCTTATTGTCCACGTAAACCATTGGTTTTTAATGGTTTAATTTATCATAAACTATAGAATATATGTAGTTAGTTAGTCATTTCAATGGCTTTCAATGGCCACCAGCACGATGATGATATTATCGACGAAGACGAAACGCCCACGAAGCAGCCGCGGTCCAACAAGGAGATGCCCGGTTATTTCAGAAATGAGCCCAGCAATGAGGCAGCTGCGCCCGCCGGAAGAGCCGCATCCGACCGGCGGACCTCCAACTCGACGACGAGGCATCGGATCGACTCGGTGAAGAAAACAAGGCCGCGTAGGTGTTAACACTGCTAACAGTGGGCTTAGTGTATTTACTGGGGAAGGTACCGTTGCATGTATACAAAAAATCGAAGGCGTTCCCCACGAAAGGCTGTCGGTGAAATTATAGATTTGAAAAGAACATCATTTTTTTTTTTTTTTAAATAATCCTGAAATTAAATTTAAAAAGCTCATATAATATGCAGGGGTAGTGCTTAAACGAACAAAACCATTTTAGCAGTGGTATTACAATGTAATATCAGTGAGCTGTAATGGCAGTAAATAGCCAGGGTCTATTTTGCAACAAGATGGCGTTCGCGGTACACACTGTACTGAAGCTCCTGTGGATGAAGCTGCTCTCCTTTATGTGGGCCAGCACTGAGACATCATCTCTCTCTGTCCCCACTGTCATTAAGCCTTTAGCTATTAAAGATATGTTTTTAATAACATGCAATATAATTTTTTTTTTTTTTGACAAAATGTTGGTTAGTGAATAATTTTTTTGTTGTTGCATATATTATCTCACATAATGCAGCATTTCCCTGGTTTGGCATGGACATTGGAGGCACTCTGGTGAAGCTGGTGTATTTCGAGCCCAAAGACATCACAGCAGAGGAGGAGCAGGAAGAGGTGGAGAACCTGAAGAGCATCCGGCGCTACCTAACCTCCAACACCGCCTATGGTAAAACAGGCATCAGGGATGTGCACCTGGAGCTGCAGGACCTTACACTGTGCGGCAGGACGGGCAACCTGCACTTCATCCGCTTCCCCACGCACGACCTGCCGGCCTTCCTGCAGATGGGCCGCAACAAGCACTTCTCTAGCCTCCACACCACCCTGTGCGCCACCGGAGGGGGGGCATACAAGTTTGAGTCTGATTTCCGCACGGTGGGTCTGCAGTGTTTTATGCTTTCTGTTTGCTTTTACCAGCTGGACAGTGAGGATGGAGGGGAAGAAAAAGAGAGGGAGAATTGTGAGGTTACAACATATTTACAGCATGGGATGGAAATTGTGACACAGAACAAAAAGAGCACCAGAGTCTAACGTTTCTCCTGTATTGTGCAAGAAATAAAAGAAAATTCAGCTTTTGACACATTGTTAACCTCATGTGTCCTGCTGCAGCTCAGTGCACAGTTTATAACTCATCCATTAATTTACATTGACAAATTTAACAAACATGACGATAAAATACTTCTTCTCGATTGTCGCATATAAAGGCTGATATATGTTATGTTGTGGTCACACTGAGGGACGTACAATTGCTCAATTTCCCACAACTTTAGGGAAGAAAAAAGCAGAGTTAGCTGTTGTGAATTTTAATCACCAGAAAATGCAGATGTGATAGTTTTTTTTTTCTTTTTCGTGAGACTCACTCCTTTGGATTTGTAATGAAGGCTCTTTTTTTTTTTTTTTTTTTTTTTTTTTTAACCCCCTGCTGTCCCCCCTCCCCCAGTTTCCTGCCTCTGTGTGTTCTTCTGACCACATCCCCTTGGTGATGTTATACATGTTCTCTTTTTTCTGTCAACATTTGTTTTGTTTTTTAAAAGATGGCGGACCTGCAGCTTCACAAGCTGGATGAGCTGGACTGTTTAATTCGGGGAGTGTTGTACATCGACTCGGTGGTGTCCAGCGGCCCCTCCGAGTGCTACTACTTCGAAAACCCTACAGACCCAGATCGCTGCATCCAGAGGCCCTACACACTGGAGAACCCATATCCTCTGCTGCTGGTCAACATAGGGTCCGGGGTCAGCATCCTGGCCGTCTACTCTGAGAACAACTACAAACGAGTTACTGGGACCAGGTAATTATCAGTGATGGAGATTTACTGTGCAAGTATTGCTCCTGATGCCTTTGTAGTGGCTTAACATTTAAATACTTGATTATAAAAAGAGATTATCACCTGAGCCTGCAGTCCCCTCAGCATGACAGAGCTTTTTAGCATCTTTCAGTTCATTATTGTAGCTTTTGGCCCACAACTTTACTGATTTGGTTCACTAACATAGTATTCATCAGATTATTATCAAGTCAGATTATATTCTACAGTCTTCAAATAAGTAAAAGAATGAGGGGGGAAAAAACAACAAATCTTTATTTATCAAGTACAGCCTGACACATTTAGGATGTATTTGTTCGCTCTGCAGCTCACTGGCCTCAGATTTAAATCCATGGCAGTGCTCTGGAGTCAGAGGCAAGATATATAAAGACCAATCTATCCACACGTCTGCACAGCGTTGACACCGTAGGTACGCCGTAACCACATAAACTACGCCACAGACTATGTTGTGGCCTGACGTGCAACCTCCCTAGAAATGTAACTACACGTTGCGGCAACGCAGACCACAACCACTGTGATTGGTCCGCTCGTCCATGTTTCTCAGTGGCTGGACAAGCAAAGAAAACTCGCTCACTCCCTCTGCCTCAGTCAGTTCAAGGCTTGTACACGCTCGCACATCTCCTCCGGCGTCTTTTATCTTTTCTTGCGTTGCAGTACGTTCATTAAAAGTTGTTGTTCGACATTTGTTAGCTCCAACTCCAGCGTGATCCGCTCAGTTTCAACCACCATTGTTTTGAAGTACACACACACACACACACACACACACACACACACACACACACACACAGTGGCATGAAATCACCACCGCCCACTAGCTTTTTGGTGGCGTAATTGCAGAGCAACGCAGACACAATGATAAATGTTCACAATGCCACCCTCTGCATACCTTTTTATACAGAACAGTGAGGCAGAATAAAGGCGCAACACCCCCCCTGTGTAAAGGGGGCTAGTGATTCAGGGATTTGCAGGAGGGTGCAGACTTGTCAAGTGGGTGGTCTGTTTGGTGACGTCTGCCCTCCGTGTCTCCCTTGTGCCTTGGTGTGAAAAGTAGCAGCATTTTTTTTTTTTTTTTTTTTTAGCTGTCGGTTACCAAACCACTTCCTTTACCGCCTCTTTGCTTGTGAGCCAAAGCGAAATGGACCTTTGTTAGTTTGAGTTTGTGTTCAGTCTAAATTTTGAATGAAGTTACTTAAACTGACAGTTTAGCTGTTGGTATTTTTGGTAAGTTTCTTTTTTCCCTCCTCCTTCTCCCTCCACTGGTTTGTTTTCACGTGTGGTTTCTCTGTCTGGTGGGTTTGAAAGGGAACCATGAGCGCTGCGCTTTTCCTCGACATAATGGCCCTCTGTCCTTTGTGCTGCAGAGAGAAACTAGATTAGTGCATTTGAACCGAATGTGCATGGTATTTTTTTTTTTTTTTTTTTGGAGTGGTTTATTTGACTTTGTTCTACATTTCTCTTTGTCTTTAATTTTAAACCCCAGATGAGAAGTTGTAATCATCTCTATTTTAATCTGTGTGCGTTCACAGCCTCGGTGGTGGGACCTTCCTGGGCCTGTGTTGCCTGCTGACTGGCTGCTCCACTTTCGAGGAAGCCCTAGAAATGGCTTCTCAGGGGGAGAGCACCCGTGTGGACAAGCTGGTTCGGGACATTTATGGAGGAGACTATGAGAGGTTTGGGCTGCCAGGCTGGGCTGTAGCCTCAAGGTGCGGTTTACAGCAGCTTTTTCTTTTGTTTTTGTTTTTCATACTGTAGGTCACCTGCCTGTCTGTGGTGGATTCCAGCATAAACAGAATCACAGCCTTAATGAAGCTGGGATCCAGGACAGTGCTAAATTTACTCTCCCAGGGTGACAACAAGAAGCCTTGGTGCATTTTGAGCGTGACCCTTTTCATCCACAGTTCTGATGCGTAACACAACGGCTGACATTCACCAGCCTTTCTCAAGTACATCTCATGTTTTGATTTGATAGTTTTGGCAACATGATGTCCAAAGAGAAGAGGGAGTCGGTGTCCAAAGAGGACCTGGCCAGAGCAACCCTGGTCACCATCACCAATAACATCGGCTCCATCACCAGGATGTGTGCGCTCAATGAGGTTAGTAATGGGGCGGGGGTTGTTTGAAACACAGGTTATACTTGATGCTCTTATCATTTTCATTATGTCACACGCCTCTGTCACCTATTTTTTTAAATAAAATAAGCAAAATAATAACAAACAAAAATCACAAATACTTGAAAATTCACAGTTTTTTGTGATCAAATAACGACTTAAAAAGTGGACTACAGCTGATAATGGTGTGACAGCATCAAAACATCATCACAGTCTTGAACTGATTCCCGTTCAACTGAACTGTTTGACTGGTTCCAGCAACGAAATACTTTTGGTTATAGAGACAGCATGATATTCTTGTGTGCTTAGTGTTTGTATCAACGTCAGAATAATCAAAAGGATATAAAAGGATTTGAAAGTTACTTTGGATCAATCGTTTGCCCTCCTCTGTCCCTGCTGTCTGTTTCCTCTTTGCGTTCAGCCTCTTTACGGTGCTGCCTTGTGGCGTCTTGATCAAGCAGCATTGTACAGGGCTATGAAGGCGTAGAGGAGGTAAACTGCACCATCGAAGAGTCTCGCAGCCCAAAGCAGGAAGTCGACTCAAAAACCAATTAAAGACACAAGAAAAAAAATCCAGCAGTAAGCCAGTTATAACGACTGAGATGTGTGTTTTTTTTTTAATTTAGCAAAGTAGTAGGTTTCAAATACACATCTTTAAACTGTTGGTTTATTCATAGGGCTTATAAGTGTTGATCAAAATGAAGTTAAAGATGCAGTTAGATCATTAAAATGAATACAAAGTAGAAATACAACAGTCAATAATATAGTCAGTATCATTAATTAGTTGAGTTATCTGTTTTATAGAGACCATTAATCAATATTTCACTCAGATGTTGATATGTAGTGTCAGGAAAAACAGGTTTGAGATTATATCTGGACAATAATACTGACACGTGTTCTTTATTGCTGTATTTAGGTAAAACGGTGGTGTGTTTAAGTTCACAGTGCTTCATTATCATGTTTTTACCACAGATAATAAACTTACCTGTTATTCCTATTATTTTATGTCTGTTCTCTTTCTTTACTAAGAACATTGAGAGGGTGGTGTTTGTGGGGAACTTCCTAAGAGTGAACACCCTCTCTATGAAGCTGTTGGCCTACGCCATGGACTACTGGTCCAAAGGTCAGCTCAAAGCACTCTTCCTCCGGCATGAGGTAAGTAACTCGGACACACGTTCCCCTCAGAGACCAGAAATGTAATTTCTTACTTTGATTGACTCTGATTTCTGACTTTCTGTTTTTGTGTGTTGTTGTTTTTTTTTTTTTTTTTAGGGTTACTTCGGAGCAGTCGGAGCCCTGTTAGAGCTTCTGCATCCGTCCTAATGTGTCTGAACTACATCCAAAGAAGTACTTGTCAAACTGCTGCAGAGACCATTAGCACTTTAGACTGTTCAGAGTCAGTTCCACGGTGGGATGTCACGTCAGCCACCAGCCAGTTACCGGTAAACTTTGGTTGTGGCAGACAGACTGTCAACATTTGGAGGTCCTGTTGTGTTCTCAGAAATCAAGCTGGTTTGTAAACTGGTGAAAGTGACTTCTAAACTTTGACACACATCTGCTGTCGTGGTCAGCGGGTGGAAATCATTTTCCTTGCTCCGGCTGAGATTGTATGCAACAAAGTTTGACAAAGTAACGAGCCGGGTTTGGTCTGAAACATCTCAAGGAAATTCACCGCGGTTGCCTGAAATAATATTGTCATCACATGGACTGCAATTACCCCTCCGAGGGTATCAGGTCCTAGGCCAAATATTCGCAAGTACTTTCTAGGGTTTATTTGACCCTACTTAGGTACCAGATGGATGGGACTTTGACTACTGTAATGGGGTTATATTGGATAAGTATGTATAAGACCTCACAGTAGAAAAGCATGGACTTCAGGGGGTGAGAAAATACAAACAAATAATAGACTTAGTAATAAATATTTTCATTATTAATCTTATAATAAATTGTTGATATATTGTTTGGCCGATAAAATGGTCAAAAATAGCCAAAGAAAAATTCCCAACAAGATTCCAGAGCCAAAGATGACGTCTTTGTAAAATGTTGTTTAGTCTTAACAACAGATTTAAACCCAAAAATATTAAGTTTAGTGTCAGTTAAGACAAATATACACAGGAAATGTTCATATTTTAGAAGCCGTAACCAGGACATTTTGGCATTTTTCCTTCAAAAACAAACAATCGTCTGTTGCTGATTCATTTTCTGTCAACTTTTTGTTTCATCATATCGACATGAATGAAATCTTGAGAATTGGCATTGTACCGTTCTAAAATTCAAATTACTGTTATATATTTTATTATACTGTAATGTGATCATTGTCCCAATATTGCTCCCATCCACCTGGTACTCTCAGTAACCTAAAACACTGCAAATCATTTACGAACACTTTGAAATGAGGGTGTGAATTATACTTTATTATATAAGAAAGAGCAAGTTTTCCTCGCTGGATTTTGATTCATATTTAAACTCACGTGTCAGTTTCTCTTAACTGACTCTATGATAAAATATGCACAAGAGATCATTTCATCAGGCTTATTCTTTAATAAGAGACATTAACTGTTACTGTTATAGACTTTATTACCATTTTCAGACGGTTTCTGCCTCTGCGAACGTTTATGAACTCAGTTGTTTGTTTTTTTTGCAACAGTGCTGGAATCAGGAAAGTGTGGACAATCAATGTGTGAGACTGTACTGATAACCCAAACACTGAGACCCCAAACATCTGCCCTGCTGATGTGCCCTTGAGCCGCTGCATCACCATACTCGTAGAGAGAAATCAGAGCAAGTGCAAAGGTAGATATTGATAAATAAAATATGCACAGGGCATTACATCCTTAAATTTTCCCCAGATTCAACAACCAAACCAGTTCTGTCTGAGTTTAGCATGTTCTTAAATATTGGTGTTATGAATTTAATGTGCGTTCCAAGGCTTTACATATAGCAGTGTTTAATTTAACATTGTGTCATTTCATTTAACGCTTATCCGTCCCATTTTAATGTCGCCTGTCTGTTCAGTCATCGGTCCATTAACGGATTACAGGGACCATAATAAAACTACCTAAGGAAGACTCACTCAACTCACTAAAGAGCTGTCAGGTATTAGAGATAACGTCTCTACAAGTTGTATATACAGGAAGCTGATTTTAAATTAAGTGCCTGTCATGTTTTTGTATAGGATACAATAATGTGTTCAGCGATGTGATTTAAAACTACACAAACTTATTTGTAATTCTCGAGGTTTCCCTTTTCTGTTTGCTTGTACAATGCGGAAGAAAACTTTGTATTATTTTGTCACAGAGTGATTTCAAGTTTGTTATTGAAGGTTCCCTATTAAATATGAACTTTTCATATCTGTGTGACTCCTCGTGGTGTTTAAACATGCAGGGGTGGAGGAAGCTTTCAGATCCATTACTTAAGTAAAATCACTATTACCACACTATAAAAATACTTACATTTTATTTAACTAACCCTCAACAAGAAAAGTGAATAATGTCGACCTATTCCTTCAAGTTAATTTTCACTGAAAAGACAAAATGTAGATTTTTAGGCTGCAAATTTAGTATTTATATGTCAGATATAGATAGATTCTGCTTATTATATTACTCATTATATTGATAAATGTGAGTGTAAAGTCAAGTCAGTTTTTCGCAGCTGACCTCAGCTGCAGGTCAAGGTAAGTATTTTAATTAATTCTACATTTTTAACATGCTTTATGGTCAGATATTACAGATACAGAGAAAGTTGTGATAGCACAAACATAACAGGATATCTGGTCAACAACTGGGTCTTTTAAATTGCTGACCCTCTGGTGTTAGAGGGTGTAACAGCCTAAAATGAGTGACCCTATTTATTATTTTCAAGATTTTGTCAAGATCAAGTTAATGCCTTATTGTAAAGCGTGAAACATATCACCATTTATTAATGAGTATCTATAAGGCTCCTTATACCAGTTGTAAATACAAGTAACTATTACTTTTATTGGTGATCTTGCCAAATAGTGAGCCTGCATCAATGTGTGAAAACTGGATTATAACTTGTTTATAATTGTTTATTTATGATTTATAAAGTGTTAACACCAAATTAATAACCTAATTATAAACCATTTATAAATCTTTGCTAAGGGTAGTCTTATTGGAAAGTGATGCCCAATTATCAAAACAGCTGCTGCTTAAATTTTCCTAATTGATTAATCGATTAATCGACTTTCCAGCTCTAATTTAAATACTAAGGAGGCACCATGTTTGGTAAAAGCAGTCAAATTAAAGAGTGTGATTAAGTATGATCCCAGTATTTGCAGCCACAGACTCTAATGGGTCTCAGTAACACTGGTTGTAAATCTTCTGCTGGACACGTTGAGCGCCTCCACACGCACGTAGGCTGCGTGTGAAATACGTGAAATTCACGTTTTTTCGGCCTTATGCAAGAGAGAGAGACAGCCTGTTACAGAACCATGCATGAAAGAGTTAGTGTCTTTCCAGGGAATAAATCCAGCCCACTCCCGCCTCCACCACCGCCACCTCCTCCTCCTCCTCCTCCTCCTCAGTCAGGGCTGTACAGCTGGCAATTTACAGACAATAACGCAGAGAGGAGTAATTGGCCGCTGGAGGTGAACCTCTGCCCCGCAAATTGGACCCGTGTTTGATCGAGGAGATGCATTAGCACAAGTCCCGGGATATTTTTATTCATCTTCCTGTTTCGGGGAGGGGTTCAGTCTCTGAACGTGTGGATCAGCTCCCCTCTCTCCACTGGAACCGTTATAACCTCCTCACACTGGCAATATAAGGTAAAGCTGATTATTTGTTATTAATTTGACCAGAATAAAGAGTTGAGTCAGTTTCAAGAGTTTTACACAAGGTGGTTAAATCTCATTAGTTTCTTAGAAGCTACATTTAACACTCAAATCCTACTCCGGCTGTTTAAAATACACATCTATTGTATCTCAGTACAACTGTATGAGGCTGAATTGTGCTATAAAGTGGCTTCACACTAAATACAGCTCCATTTAATAAACTCATGATATTCAGACTCCCTGAATCTGAGTCTCCCTGGCCAGTTTTTAGGATGCACAGGATTAAAAAATGTGAGGAATGTTGAAACAGGAAAGCCAAATAAGAGTCTGGTGTGCTGATCTGGTCTGGATCAGAAGAACCACCTAGTGAGATCTGTTTAACTGCTGCTACTTTCTAATCAGGCACCCTTCATAAAGGATCAATAAAGTGTAAACTGTATTTATGAATGAATAATGTGCTATTTATTACTGTTTAATCGATCAGGAAGCCATTAATAAGAGGAATGTTTGGGTTGTCAGCTTGTGAAAATCCCTTTGATGGTGTTTAGGACTGCAAATAACAATTATTCTGATTATTGATGAATCTACCAATAATTTCAATTGATCATTTGTCTATAAAATGTTCAAAAAAGTTATAAAAAAAACACATTCTATTATCAAAATAATTACTGTAATTACTATAATTTTTAACTATAACTATAATTTCTGTCAATTGTCTAATTGATTAATCATTAATCGACTAATCATTTAAGCTTATCCTTTCTTCTTTGTGTTAATGCAGTAAATCTTCATGGAGTTATCAGTTTATAATAAACCATCAAACCTGCAATTATAAATGTTCATGAATGGATTTTGGTCCAGATGCTGTGCAGCTGTTTTCCAGGAGGTAAGTGGCCACAAGGTCCATCGGTGTGAGTGTTCCTGATGGGTTAAAGAGATAAAGAGGATGATGGAGGAGGATAAACATCAGCCAAAGAGACAACATGGCCGCCCAAAGGTTGTTCTTATTAATAGATTATGATTTAATAAATACTTTCTCAAAATGAATCCAACCACTGTGTGTTGTCGAGCAACGTCAGTTTCCTCTTTTCCTGATCTCACTGAAGTTATAACCTCTGACTGTTTCACAAAGTTCCTGTGAGGTCAACAATGTGCTGCAACAAGGAGGGAAAATCTCTTCCCTGTAGCCCAGGGAGCTTTTCACTACCAGTTTATTTCAGACCTCTGGTAGTGATTAGTAAAAAGACTGAGTGTGTGTTCGTGTGTTTGTCTCAGGATCAGACTTTGTGATGACCAAAGTGTTTAATCTGTTTTGTATTTTAAAGCAAAAGAGCTGCGTTGATCCAGAGCTGGTTCATTTGAGCCTTTGGTATGGGGAGTCCCTGCTATAGAGTGAGGGGTGAGAGAGGAAGAGAAACAGTTCAATGTGTGTGTGTGTGAGAGAGAGTTGGTTTGACTATAAGTGCTGACCTTTTATTAAAATCAGATACAGGTGAGTCTGTGTCACCTGATGTGATGGAGGAGCTTCAAAATCCAAAATAAATACTGAAATACTCTGTTATATTTCATGTCTTTCCAACAGGATTATTCCAGTTACCGTGTAGTTTTTGCCTTTATACTGCATCTGGAAACATGGAGTCTTTGCTGCAGTAAAATGCAACAGTGCATCACACACAAGAGGTCAGATGATCAGACAGGTTGTAAACAGTTTAGCCAGGTGATCTAAGCCACTTTATTTTGTTATAAAGGTTGGTAATAATCAAACTTTGCACAGGAAAACTGTGTGTATGCAAAAGCAGGGTGATTACAGTGGGTGAAAGTTGCAGCAGGAAGTCCATCTGTAAACTGTGATTTATGATTACACATTTTCTCCTCTCTCCTTCTTTAAAATGTCTGTGTTTATGTCCTTTGTCTATTTATGAATCGCTCTCACTGCCTGTATCATAACAAACTTCTTCCTCTGTAACTGCTGAAAAAGAAACAGCCAAGTATATTTCCCAAATTGTTGGTGTATTCCTTTAAGATGAATTTGAGTCAAGAGTTTTCATGCACTTTGTTTATTTCTCACTCTGTTTGTCCTTGAGCTCTACCATCAATATGGGAGAATATGATCTTTAAGGTTTAAGAAGTAAAACAGTAGCTTCAGTTCAGACTTGCTCTGCCTTTAAACACCCCCCCACCCCCCCCCCTACCCCCCCGGCCCCGACTACAGCTTAGTGTGACGGTGTGGGGCCATCCACACACCGTGAAACTGGACTCAGACGACGCAGTCAGTCTCAGACATGTTTTGGAAAGGGTACCTTTAAGTTTGTGGTTCCTGTACAAACACATCACACTACTGTATTTGTGTCTCTGCTAAAAGCTAAGAAGGAGTGTAGCTGTCAGGTTATCAATAGCAGGCCTATGTTAGCATTCAGCAGCTTTACAGGAAGGTTTAAGAGAGTAGAGTTAACATCTTTTAGGAAAAAGGTGGTTTGTTGTGTCAAAAAAAAAAAATATGAATGAAAATTAACCCAGAGGAAAAAAGTGCTGTCTGCTCAATAAAACACTGGACTGTAAGCTACAAGACGGGACAAACACATAAATATAAACATTGCGATTGGCCTGACTGCCTGGTCATTGAGGCCTTCACGTTTTTAAATGTTCCCTGTTATTCTTCCCCAGCGTCAGACTCAAGTAAACACTGACCAGATGGTTTGAATCAAACTGCTGGAGCAGCTCTACACTCTTACATCAATCCTATTTCCATATGCTGAGAAATTTTTCAGCACCTCTGTGTAGGCCCCCTTTGTTTTAGCTACAGCTATTTCTAAAATGCATTGAGGTGGAAATATGGGAATCCTTTGTGTATTGTGTATAATAGTAAAATAGTTTGTCGCTCATCTCCTTAACTGATTATACACATTTCACAAAATCTGTGTACTTTCATTTATAGAAAGCCCGAAACAGTCTTGATGTGTTCTTAGACTTGACATTGTCTTTTCCCTTTTCTTCACTTGCAGCTGAAGTAATGGAGAAGTCGAGACGTGGAGTACAGTTAGCATTCAGCCTCCTGTTTGGGTTGTGGTTACCTTGCTGTTTAACCCAAACCACACCATCAAATGCAGCCTCGGCAACACCCACACCATCCCCGTCCCCCCAGTCCCTGGCAGAGAGGCTAAAGGTCAGACTGACCGGATACCCTCGAAAACACAACGAGGGTCGGGTAGAGCTTTTTTACAAGGGGGAGTGGGGAACCATCTGTGACGACGACTTCTCAATAGCTAACGCCAACGTGCTGTGCCGCCAGCTGGGCTTTGTGTCAGCCACAGGATGGACACACAGCGCCAAATATGGCAAAGGTCAAGGTAAGGGTCTACAGCCACTCCCTGAGGTTCAGTTTCTGGTTTAATACACTGTGTACTCTGCCATATGATGCATACACTATACCATAAGGCAGAGAATATTCACACACATCAGGGGTATTCAGATACTGTGAGATAAGTTACTAATTACTTAAATTGCGATAGGTAGATACTCTAGTTTATGTCCAAAACTAAACAATGATTACCATAAGTTACCATGCTAACATGCTAAAAAAAAAGATGGTGAATATTTTAGTTGCTGAACATCAACATGTTGTTAAGTTGACTATAGCATTTAGCACCTTCTCACAGAGCTGCTAGCATGACTGTAAACTTGCTGAAAAAGAAGCCAACAAGGAAGTGCCAAAAACTGCAGTTCTTCAAATGGCCACAAGAGAGTGACTTCAAATCCCCATAGACTTCCATGTTTAAATCTCCAACTTTACAGCAGAAATAAGCGTGTTTACAGCCTGGTACAAAAAAATGGTTTTAGTTTCCTCCTTCATGACAAGTGAAGGGAGGTTAATTTTTTATGTAACTCACCCGTTTATATTTTATAAAGGCTTATAGTTATGGATTATTGAGGGCGTGGCCACTTTAACTGACAGGTGGGTGTCGTCACAGCCCGCGAGCGGTCTGCTCGGCGTCACTGCGAGTAATTGGTCACTGAATGTAACGTCTAGGCCGTATTTGTGCCTCCAAAGGATTTTTCATAGAAATATTGGAGAAATAATTTGCCTTGCTGTGCGGTTAATTGACAAACAGAACGCGAGGAAGTCTGTGCTCCTGCTTTTTTGAGGTGAGGTGGTAAAATTTAACCATTACTGACTTGTTAGCTTAGCTCGTTAGCTAGCGCCCGCAAATGAATTAGCCTTGGGTTAGCCTTCAAGCACGACGCCCAGATGTCCAACACTGCTAACGACGCTAACTAAAGTGTATGCCTGACACAGTTATTAAACCAACATGTACCCGGCTCCACCTTTTTTTGCCCATTTTTGAATTAGCCGGGAATTATGCTGGGTTAGGCACTGACAAGATGGCGACGCCGAGTAGCCCACTTTGAGCTTCAAAACCGCTCTTGTAGCCTTTGGGTGACGTCACGGAGGCTACGTCAATTTATATCAGGACTATTCTTTACAGATCTTTACAAGAATATGAATGAAGTTCGACAGATTTAAACGCCATTTAATCATTTTTAAATTAAAGAAGATGCTCTGAATGTCTTGCAATGTAGAAACCGTCATGTTAATTAAGAAAAATTTAAAAGCTCTTATTAATTATGAACCTCTTAGTCTATTATACAACCTTTTTACAAGAGTATTCATCTCTGGCTGTGCTTCCTTTGGTTCCCAGAGCACCAGTATAACAAGTAACCAAGTGTCCTCTCCAGGCCTGGACTGATTACTGTCCTGGGAGTCGCACTGACAGTTTGCTGCCTCCACAGGGAAAATCTGGCTGGACAATGTGCTGTGCAATGGAGGAGAGAAAAGCATTGAGTTCTGCAAGTCTCGCGGCTGGGGCAACAGTGACTGCACTCACGATGAAGATGCTGGAGTTGTGTGCAAAGACGAGAGGATTCCTGGCTTTGTCGACTCAAATGTTATTGATGTAAGTTACCACAAGAGATTTGAAGTGATTTTGTTGTTGTAAAAGTGATGCTCAGAGTTCATTAAGATGCAGTTAAAAGCTCATAAACTTTTGTGTTAACTGCCCTACTGCTCCACAGCCTATAGACTCTATAAGGTTGAACCCACATGGAAGACATTTAATGCTTCAGTGTAACTCCACCTGTAGCTGCTACACACATGGTGCTGATCAGCTATGCTCTGTACCATCTGTCTGAACTTGTTAAAAGCTGTTGCTTCTCCAGTGTCCATTGTCCTGAGGTGATGTAGGGAGTGGAGAGTTTTCTGACAGTCCTCCCATAACAGAGAGCAGCATGAGATCCTTACACTGATTCTGGACAGAAGGAGGTTATGACCTGAGGGTCACAGATTCATTGATCACTGGGATGATCTGATTGGTTTCTTGGAGGTATTTGACTACCAACACTTCAAGGAGAATTATTCAGACAGTGTTCGTATGCGTGTACTCTCAGGTGGGAATGATGGCTGACTTGAGTGTGAGTGTGTGAGCAGAGTGTTTCTATAAATGATCAGGCATGCTCAGTAAACCCTCCCTGGATAAATAAATATTTAAACCTGAGGGAAATCTTCACTCTCACTCTAAGAAAGCACAGTTGGGTGAGGTGCTGGCTGAGCTGTTTCCAGCTGGTCATTATTTTCCGTTTGTGCTCTTTGATGTTCATTTGTATAACTGACTGGTCCCAGGTGAACAAGGTTAGACTGGGGACTCATCTCCACAGTGCACTGGAAACAGCCTGAATGAATGAATGAATGAATGATTTGATGAGGTGTCCCTGTTACATAGAAGGGTCTTATGAAAAAAAGTTTCGTAAGAGTAAGAGGGGGCGGACTTTCAGATGCATAACTACTCTCCCTTTTTCTGCCTGTTGCTGCGATTCAGCCTCAGTTAAATGTGGCGTCCAGTCTTCAATCTGTTATTTCAGCCATTTTTTTCCCCACCTAAATAAACCACAATCGAGGTGAGTCGTTGCAAAACTGGCAATCAGAGGTAGTCACGTTTACCACTTATGAGCTGTTAGTGAGAGGATTAGACCTAAAATTACAGTCTGTAAGGACTATGACTCACTGTGGAGTCTCTTCCTCTCATTCAGAAGTCTTAAAGAGACATGCATATGTGAACATACTGTATGTTTCTATACATGGATGTGTCAGTATGAATATAAAGAAAACAGTCCTACAATTTTCTGCAAACAAAAGCTGATAATCACTAATTTTTTCTCTCCCAACAGGCCCATGTGGATGAGAACAAAGTAGAGGAGGTGCGACTCCGGCCCGTCGTCGTCACAGCCAAAAAGAAGCTGCCCATCACAGAGGGTGTTGTGGAGGTGAAATTTAAAGAAGGCTGGGCTCAGATCTGCGATGTGGGATGGACGATCAAAAACACTCGCGTGGTCTGTGGCATGCTGGGATTCCCACATGAGAGGAAAGTCAACAGGAACTTCTACAAGTAAGTGAATGGGGTTGGTGTGGGCTCATGAGGTGAAAGCTGCAGCTGAGAATAAAGTGATGTAAGTTGTCAGCAATTAACAGCAAGCTTGTATTTCATATATTGGTCAGTGCATACCAACACCAAAATGATAATGAATAATGAAAACAATAAATATATATTCTATTGTTTAGTGGTGATACACTCCACATCTTCCCTATTGAAGCTTTACTTTGTGTTTTATTGTTCAACTTCATAGGAGGTAATTTAATAACTGTAGACTTTTAACCCTGTAATCTGTCAGTTCCTTAATCTGCACTGTAAATCAGTGGTCCCCAACATTTTTGTCTTTTGACCCCATGAAATGAAGAAATGTCAACTTGTGAGATGAGTTGTGAGATGGATCCTGACACCTAGGAGGGGAAACACAGAGTTATCCACCTGTAGTTAAAGGAATAGTTCTGACATTTTGTAAAATACACTTAACACAGATTTTTTCGATTTTGAAAGTTAGATGAGATGATCAATACCACTCTCATAGCTAAGCTAAGCTAACCAGCTGCTGACTGTAGTTTCATGTTTACTGCACACTGACATGAGAGTGATTCAATTGTGGATCAAAGTGTTTATTCCAAAATCTCAAACTATTTCTTTAAACTGATAAAAATGAGAAATGTGATGGAAATTCCTAAACTTTAGGATGTTCAACTGGAATGTGCAAGATCCTTATTTTTGATGTTTGCAGGTTTTAAAGGTGTAGACTTTTTTTCCCCCTGTGCCAACAATGCGAATTAAGCCACTCAGCAAAGTGGCTATAATTTACTCGTTCACTCAGGATGAGATGTTTGCTGCAGCCTGTTTGACATTCCTGTGGTTTTAGTCTGTAAAGCAAAGTGGCAACACTCTGACCAAACCACAAGCAGCATCTAAGTCTATTGTTTGGTAAAGAGTAGACATTATAGGACTGCTGTTTACAGTGGATATAATCATAATCGTGACTGTCAGTGTGTAACTTTCTCTGCTGTCAGTCAGAACCACAGTTCTACAACAAAGCATGCATGAAGCTGTTTTTGGACGAGCCTCTGATTGTTCTGTTTTCTTATTTCTTCCTTCCGAGGATGTTTTTGTTTTCCTTTTGGATACACAGAACAGCCATGTTTTTGTTTGAAATGTGTCCAGGTCAGGTCACATATTTCATGTTCTCAGCCTCTGTTCATTACTTTGCAGAGGAAGTCGAAGAGTGATAATGAACTGCCTGCAGAGATGGAAAAGTACAAACCAGTGTGTGGTTCTGTCAAGACTGTTTTAACCACTGCAGGGTTTGACCCAGTGTGATAGTTCGGAAAAAAATACAAGATATTTGCACTCAAATCAAATCAAAGTTGAAAAAACAGGTAAAGGTGAGATAATTATCTCACGGTTTTCAGTTCTCTCGCATTTTTCACTCTTTACTCGATCAATCAATGAATCATTTGGTCTATTAAATGCCAGAAAATTGTGCAAAATGCCCACCACAGTTTACTAAAGCCCAAGGTTGTTTTGTCGGACCAACAGTGGAAACCCCAAAGGTATTCAGCAAAGAGAAAAGCAGCAAATCGTCACAACTGAGAAGCTGGAACCAGGAAAGTTTTAGTATTTACCTGTCGATCAACAAATCAGTTAATTTGCTAGTAAATAATCATTAGCTCTAGCCACAAAATGTATTTGAAGACAATGACTTCTTTAGTGGACTGCCTCTCCTCCGGTGTGTTCTTCAGTATGTATTCCTGGCTGCGCTCCAGTCGGAGGCGTTTTATTCATCCCCTGCAGATGGTTCACAGTAGTCCGAGGGGAAACGTGTGTTTTCTCTCAGGCGTGTGTGAGGGCTGAGAGGGGTTGGTTGGTCACATAATAGACAGAGTACAACGACTGGAGTGAAGCCAACATGCATCCAGCAACAGTCATATTGTTCTGTGCTGTCAGTCCATCCGTCCTAGGTCATCAGTTCTTGAAAAGTACCTACTCGAAACAGTTTGGTCATTAATGTGTTTTGAAGGCAGATACATATAAACAGTCAGTTGCTGATTTTGTGACATTAGCTGTTGTCCTCAAATTTGACCATTTTCCATTATGTCTGTCAGGGTGGAAGAGCATCTGAAACTATCTGAGGACACTTAAGCTTTCCACTGAAACCCAGAACGATGAATCATTTTTTACCAGCTGTTATTTCAGGCAGTTTTTTTTTTTTTTTTTGTCAGACTTTTTTGTAATGCTGTTCTTATCCTTTATGGCTTTTATGTGTTTAATTGGAACCATTCATCATATTGTAAAAAAGTGATACAGTAATTAACTTTACGTTTGCTAAGCCCAGACTGCCCTTATGTCTACACTGTGCACGATTCATTCTCCATACCGCAGATAGTTTATAGTTTTAAGTTATAAATGTTACATTTATATTGTAGTTTTTTATTAGATTGTAAAAACAGTCCAAAGGAGTGATGTATATACTTAATATTCTATGTTTCTCCTGGTGTGAACACCTAACCAGACTATTTCAAATTTATGTTAAATCCCACATTTCAGAATTTTTATGTGGAAATACTATAATTAGGATGAAGAAAAGCTCATATCATTGTCGTTAACTGATAAACATCAGGCTTTTCATGTATCCGATTGTTTTTTTAGTTCCTCAAAAGTGAATATTTTGGGGTTTTACTTCGCCTATTATCAATTTGAGTTAATGATGCATTTAAAGCACTGAACAAGCTAAATGGAGACTTAAGGTTAAAAAAAGCTTAATCAGCACTAAATAGAAATATAAAGTTTTGATTCCCCTTATTTCTTATTATAATAGGCATTAAACATAGGAATTGTAAAAAGAATTTATAAATGAACTATGAGGTGTTACACTGGTGCAGCTGAATGAGACTACTGAATTCTGAATACTTGGAATACCTCTGTAATTGTGATCATCCTCGACTGTAACATAAGATACTGGAAACCTGTGGAATGCCAGACATGTTATTCACCACTGACCCTCCACTGCTTCACCCTAAAGAAATGTGTGTGTGCAGCCCAGAGACAGTGAGTGTGTGTGTGTGTTTACATGTGGTCTCACTCCTGTATGTGATGGAATTTGGCTGTCTCACTGTTGCAGACATCTGAAAAAGCGAGCAGCTGAGAAGGTCTCCAGGCCAAAGGTTAATGTTTCAGCCGGTGGAAGGTACACAGTCACGGGAAAACCCACCGTCCACCTCCGTCCGCACTCTGTTTACTGTACTTCTGACAGTGGGTTTCCTGTTGGGAGTAGACAATAACCATTTAGCTCCTGTTTCTAGATAGCTTCCCCTCTCTCTAATATCATATTATTATGATGTGCAGCATGTGAATGGGTTGTATATTTTTAAATTTGATCCTGCTATAATTGGAGGTTGTCTTGAGTTGAGGGTTGTTTTCTGTTTATTTCTGTTTTTGTCTTTCACATTTCTACTGACATGGCACAGATTGTACTATTTCTTAGCTTTAATTAATTAATACATTACAAAGTACAGTATGATATTTAAAAAAGAAAAAATTCAACTTTCTCTTTTTGCTAAAAATAAACAAACTTAATTGGGTGTTTATTACCATTAAATCCTTTTTTGAGGCCTGTTTTTTAATGGGACAGATGTTGTGAATCTGTGCCATGTCAGTGACTGAGGCTTAATCTTTTCACAGATTAGTCCTTTTAAATGTAATGCAACATCTGAAAATCCCATTCTCCAGTATGGCATGCTTTTTGGAGGTGGAGAGTAACTTCATCCTGGGTTCTTCAACTGAAATAGTCATCGGCCTCAGTCTCAGTCTTCACAGCGTTTGTTTTAGCCGGCAAAGAGTGCCAGATGGGTGGAGTTTGCCACATACATTACACATTTTAGTTTTATTATGTTTCACTGTGTAGTTCCTGAGTTTGGAAAATTACACACCAAAGTAAATAAAAGCGAATTATTACAGTGAAAAAACAGTTTCCCAGATTTCCTGTTTTATCTAATCTAAGATTTATCTTAAATTTTATTTTTTTTTCTAAGATTACTTCGCAGAATAGATGACTGTGGTAAAAAGACCCTGACTCTTTCTTTCTTTCTTTCTTTCTTTCTTTCTTTCTTTCTTTCTTTCTTTCTTTCTTTTATTTACTTATTTATCCATCCCTAGAGGGAATTCAGGTGTCCAGCAGCTCTACTAAAACAATTAACAAATTCTAATTGACTTGAGTAACAAAATGTTTGAGGTTTTGTTACAGGATGAAACAAAAGAATTAATAAATTAGTGGAAATTCAGTTCTTCTTTTGGCTTTGCACTGAGAAAGTTGAAGAACCCACCAACACGGACTGTACAGTGTAACGTCATGCTTTGATTATTACACCTACCTCTGTGGTTTATTTACATGCCATCCAATCAAAAAGCAGTGCCATACATCCAACAAAACCAATGTGGTAACTGGAGGTTCACATTGTCTTAATCAAAAAACTACAATCACAATAGCATCGTCTCTACTAACATGTTAATAGTGATCATACACTACATGGCCAAAGGTTTATGGACATCAAACTTCCACTTCAAGTTCTTGTGCAGGCCACAAAAGTTCTTCCACACCAATATGGGAAAACCATGTTTTTATGAATCGGATTTCGTGCACGCATGTGCTGTCAAGTTTAAACAGGAAAGAGCCTTCCTCAAACTGTTGATGGAAGCGTGCTGTGTATCCACATACTTTTAGCCATGCTATGTATGTGAGCC